TGGTCACTTAGAAAACTTCACGTATCACACAGCATGCGCAGAGCATGTGTGACTTCGTTGGTAAATATTTACCAACCCACACGTCTTCGTCGCCTTGTGATTCGTTTCGAGTTCTTCTCCACCTGTGTTGCCCACGCGAACATGTGCTTGGAAAAGAAGCGTGATTAACGGCATAGAACGAAAAACAGCTCCTGGTCACTGGCATTTTCCGCGATAATGAAAATCTTTTTTATCTACAAACGTTGTTAAGGACAGTTCTGTGAAGAGCAGACACGAAAAAGTTGGAGTGAAATCCGTTTTCTAGATGTTGAGAAATCCCCTCGGGAATTCCATGCATAAGTAATGGATGGAGTACATGATGCAGCGACAGTATGAAGTGGAGACGACAATTACCACTGAGCCATCATCTCTTAGTTCTAACACTTCCCTTCCTAATAGAATGAAAAAAAAGTAGTAAATGGAGATTTGCAAATATCTCAGCATTATAAAAGTTATATTTTGTAACATACCCTGCCATTAAAAAGAATAGGCAGTAAATGAAAAGGTTAAGATTGTGATTATAACTACAGCCTCAGCTTAACTGGGATCAATGCCGACTTAGGCTCCTCAGATCAATCCCGTTGACGAGTGATTGCTGATGGCAGTGATCGATAGAACTAGCGTGAGAGGCACGCGAAGCGAAGGAGCCACATGTTGTGGTGGTGAACTCAATAAACCCAGAAAAGATAATAGCGCGTTCGTTCCCCACCACAGATACCTGCGGTCCGGAGTTTTGCAAATATCTCAGCATTATAAAAGTAATGAATGGAGACTTTCATAAAAACGAAGGAACGTCGTGAGGTGTTCGGAAATTAGTGGATTGAATGTTCGCTTTTTGATAAATACTAATAATCAATTGGGCTGTGTAACTGTAGCCCAACACTTTGATTATTTCTGTTTCGATTGTTGTACTTGTACTTTTGTGTTTCTCTCCTGTTTGAAGGCATGTGAAGGGTGATCATAGATCACGTACGCCAGTTGATGTTTGTCATCCATCCATGCTCGTCAGTGCGATGGGTGCAAACAAGCCTCTGGTGCTCCTCATCAGAAGAAGTTCACAATTGTGATCGAGTCTGAGATTACATGAATGCACAATTTCCTTTGGCTTCTACTTGTTTCCTGTAATGAAATTCGAAAAGATTCAGTGGTAGGATTGTAATGAATAGGATTCTTTATTAGTTAAGCCTATCCCAATCTTCCATATATTTGTGTATATTTTCTAAAAGATTAAATGAACACTCGTCTTTCTCACGAATATACATAGTTCTCTCTCTGGCTTGCTCTAATTATTCTCCTCGATTTTCGGCAATTTCGTTCACAACGAAACGGCACTGGTTTTGGTACTTTATGAGATGCTTGTCTTTTTCGTGAAGGCTGACAGCCAATGGAAAAGTAGTGGAGGTCGTAAGAATCACTCTTCGACATGAGTTTGGCGAACCGTTCGCTCTTTACGGCTTCGGCCACTTCTCTTTTAAAATCCGTATTTTCATGCTTCTGTTCCTTTTGACTTTATTGTCGATTTTGGAAATTTTCATAGAATTCCTCCAGTACTTTTGACCTTGACGAGGAATTCGTTTTGAATAAGTGGTGGTCAGCACAAAAGGTGAGGAACGTGCCGCTGTTTCATTTGCACATTGATTGCGTTGTTCGACCACAATATGATTCTGTTCATATCCCATTCTCTCGTCTGGATTTCTCATTCTAGCATGAATTTATCCACTATTACAACTGAAATGTACAGTCGGTTTTTACTTGTGTCTTTTTCATTTGTTTTACTGTCTTACGCGTCAGCGTCTAAAAGTTCTGAAGTGCCAGAAATAACTACAACGAAAAGGAATGCTTCATGTGAAAGTTTTCAGCAGCCAGAGAAACCATGGGCAGTTGTTCTCAGCTGTTTATGGCTTTCAAAACGTTGTTAGTGGGTCGGCAGCTTACGTTGTTGTATTATAAATCAGCCGTGTCGGAATAAGAATGATCATCATCCGTTTCGCGTAGTGTTTTATTTCATCTCGGAAGGAGAACCAGCTAATCTTCGCACTTTTTCCTCCATCACACTTCATTTTTCTCTTTGCGGTACTTTTCCCTCCATAACCTAAAGCGATGTGCTGTGTTTATTTTCATAGTTCAGAGGCTTTTTCGACAACACAAAAGAGAAATGTCTGGATTATTGAAATATCCTCCGACGTCTAGAAAGCACACAAAATTCATGCATTTACTAAAATGCGGACGCTCGCCACTTACACAAGGGGAAGGATGAAGTGCACTTTATGATTGGTTAGGAAATTCGCACAAACGAGCATTTTAACCGCAAGTATCCTTCTCAAACGCAAGTACTTCCTTCTCACAAACAATTTGGTATAAAAACAAAAGTGGAAATCGAAGAGAACACGAGCTATCAAATCAGTCAATCAGTGAGAGTTAAACTCCTCCTTATACTCTCATTACCACTTTCAGCTTTTGGAAAAATCCGCTTCTTGCCCAGTAACTCTTCTTTCTTTTCTAATCCCTACGTTGAATCCTGGTTGTCATACCATAAAACGATAAAGGATGAAGCTCGCGGCGTGCATCAATTCCTGAGGGATGCACCATGCATTCGACCTCATTACGTATCGTTGGAGGTGATTGAATGCATATCTGGCTTTTACAACGACTCACGGTGGCCTACCGATGTATCGAGCCAGTGCTGCTATCCTCCCAGACAAGTTTCGTACCAATTTGCCTACCCTGGAGGGATGGAAAGCTTGGTGGGCCATGGCCGCGGGGATCGATTCCATGTGTGTGTCGCAATGGTGCCTCCAACCGTTGCGCCATACGCGCCCCTACCATGTACACATCATGCCATAGGATGCGAAAAACAGAAAAAAAATACTAAAATATGCTTGTGGCATATAATATAGAGCTACATATCTTCCAAAGGGGATTACTAGAAGTGAATCCGTGGCTTAATGATGGACAAGCTCACACAATAGATGCGAAAATATTGTAAAAACATGGAAAGTACACAGAGGAATGTTGAAAATGCGTACGAAAGTAAAAGAGCGAAGGATACAAGTCAAAAAAGCCGTAGCGAAAAGTGGAAGAGTAGAGTAGGCTTCATTTTGTGAGGGGCACTCTAGCCCATGTGCGTCTATTAGAATGCAGAGTGCGGCGCCGAAAAATCACGCGTTGTCCACGCTACCGTCGCCAAAAAGTGGGCATCGCGAATATAATTAAAACTTCACAACGAGAGGGTTCGTATTTATGCTAACCTTAGCTGACATTATTTGCATATGTTACTAAAAGCTATATTTCAGATCTCTCCCGTACAAAAGACCTTGAGGCTATTTGCAGGGCTACCACGCTTCTCTCCCTATAGCTGGTAGGGATTTAAATGCAACCAAAAGTTGCTTGTTGTGAGATGATTTGTGCAAGGCGTTCCGTATTCACTTAGCATCCAAGAGTTTATCAAAATGATTATGATATCCTAGTAGCGATTCAAGCATATCATCTGCATTTTTAGAAAAAAAGCGGGATATTTCCAATGGACTCATTCAAAAATTTGGGTTCGAATCGCTCATCGACACCCTCCCCATCGTTCACCAGTCCACGTGGGAACGCCCTACTTCGGCTATCTCCAAAGTTGCAAGAAGAGCCGACTTGAGCAGCATTCTATATAATCTGTAAAAAGGACGAAATCCTCATGTTTAAACAACAAGCGAAATGTTGGAAGACCTTTGTGTACGATTAATGCGAGGAAGACGAATCCAATGCAAGAAGTGCTTGGATCCTCAGAATAGAAGGGGTGATAGTTCATGTAGAATAAAAAGATAATAGTAGGTAACAACTCTATTGTGAGATGATGTCGTCACGATTAACGTTTGCTAATATTTCCCTGACCGATTTCGTCTTCCCAGAGTCCTGCACGTTGTTTGTGTATATCGAAAGAGTGCACCCTCTACTCATGTTGTCTGCTTACGGATACAATTAGCGACTGGTACAAATAGAGATTTTACTAGTGTATGAAAGATCAAATTTACTTTTCAGTTTTACTCTGTTTAAATTTTTGTCTCATTCGGCAGCAGTTGCTCTCAGTATTCTTGTCATGGATGTCATGTCATGTCAGTTACTTTTTGTCTGGAAACGAAGAACATATAAGGATAACTGTATATTTTATAAAAGTGCATTGTCTATTATGAGTTGTAAGGCAGAAACCCATCACGTCGGACCTCGCCTTTCAACAGCTAAACTAGTTAATTGAATGAGATGAGGTGCTTGCCAATCTAAGAAAAGAAAGGATTTTCGTAGCAAAAACATTGTAAAACATTGCTAAGGTCGTTGAGGCTTAATACAGGTGCCTTATTTTAAAACAGTTCCTTCATGTTAAATCTCTATAGGCCGATCAAGTGGAATGTAGTTTTTTAATTCTAATGCGAACAACAATGGATAGAGGACAGTGCATTCGTCGTTGATCAATCCGTAGAGGATGCGTCATTCATTCAACTTCATTGAGCATCATAGAGACTATTGAATGCATATCTGGCCTATGCAGTGACTTGAGAAGCCTACCAATGTATTGAGTCAATGCTGCTATCCTCTCAGACATGTGCAGTACAATTCTGACGACCCACGAAAGATGGAAAGCTTAGTGAGCCCTGGGCACGGGTTCGAACCCTTGTCCGATCACATAGTTTACTACGAGGCACTCTAGCTATTGCTGTACACGACCAAACCACCTTTTTTCAGAGTTGGTCAAAATTTTGCTGTTAAATAAAGCTTGTAGAATTTAACACTACAGTTTGATGTTTCGTGTATTGTTTGCAGGAATTCTTTCTAGCCTTGAATTATTTTTCACTCGCAAATTTTACAAGGATATGCGTAGTTTTTCATTTCATTTCGTTTATAGAATTGGTATATGTCGTCTGTTCTGGTGTTTCTGAATGTTCTCTCTGTTTAGTCTTCCTGAAGCTGCCTTTTGCAGTTGAATGGCCGATGGCGTCGATGAGCTGAAACGTCACAGTATGTTGATACGATTGCTATTCAGTGGGTTGTTTCTGTTGCTTTCATTCTTCATGTATTCATATAATGAGCTCACACAATGGAGTTTTACGTGTTCATATCGATAGGAGATTTGAACGGGCTTTTAAAAGAGGACATGGTTTTCTTTCCGACTCCGAATAATTCTGATTCTTCATTCTAACGAATTAAGTAATTAGTTGGAAATAAATGATTTATTAGAACTTAAGATGCTCAGAATAACTAGATCTCACTTGTATGCTTGGATGGCCCGTCTTCACTGGTTGTGCGGCCCCCAGCATAATTCCTATTCTCCGAAGATTTACTGGTTTAGCCACTGTGGTTCCCTTGATTCCCGAGGGCAGCACAGCCAAAGTTTGCTCCAGGTCGTCAACACGACAAGCAGTCGCAGCACTTGTGGATCAGAGAGAGTTTTGCCACCATGGGACTAGCTTAATACCATGACCGTGATGGATCCTGCTATTAGTTTACTCTTAGCTGGGCTTCGTGATGGAAACGCCGAACCCTTTCTCAGCTTGAGTCTCCCAGTGCAGCCCGACACCCAGGAACACCTACCAACCACGATGAGGCGGTAAGCCACTGTGAGGGAATAACTCGATCAGTAAGTTCTAAATTGAAGATCGTGTAAATTTGCTATTAAAGCGATTTAAATGAGATAAAGGAAAAAAAGAGTTGTTTGATGAAGAAGATTGGCATACGGCAGACACGTTGTGGATATGTTTTCCACAATAATCGCGAAGAAGCTGCATGAATGTGAGCCTTTTCATTAGAAGTTTCTTATAACATTGTAGAAAATTTTCAGTGAAATTTCCGATACATCTCCTTTCAATGCATGTAGGTCTACGATAAATCTACGAAACACAAGGCGATGTTAGCTTTCCAATAAATAGCGATAATATTTTGACAACAGCATTGCTTGGTTGGAAAGTACAGTAAAAATCACTTGCTCTAAGTAGTTTCTAATAAAAGAGTTGTTTTCCTAGGTTTTGAAGCGAGTTCGTCATAGGGTTAATAAGGCTGAGGTGAGAAAACGAACTAGCACCGATTATTGACTACGAATACTGTGAAAGTATGGAGGGAAGCAAAAGAAAAAGAACGATTAGTGGGGTTCCAAAAAGCAGAGTTTAGTGGTCGTGGTAAAAGAAAATATTTGTCGCGTTCGAAAAGAGGGATTTTGGTGGTTTCTCTTTTATTTACTGCTTCCCTTTAAATTACTAATGTTCACTATGAGCGGAGATGTTTTTACCAAAGTGGAATGTTGAAACATTTTTGGCCTCATGTATTACAATCAGTGCGTATCGTCGCAAGTATGTTACTTGTCTTGATATGTCGACTTTCTCATCTATCAGCGTAAAATTAGGTGTTGCAATTTAAGGTTTTTCTTAGTGTTTTGTTGGCATATCAAAGAATATCTCGCTATAGCATTCCATATTGCAACCGTAGTGGGAGTGATGTTTTTCATTTTAGCGTAGTAGGATTTCGGCTATTGGACGCCGATAAAAGCTATCCCGTAACCGTTTTTTTCATCGGAACAACTGCTATGTTTAGGCTTCTTGGTGACGGGCATCGTTGGAATTTCAGCTCATGCAGTAGCGCTTGGTAACCTTGCAGTCGTGATACGTGGACATGGAGTACTTTCCACAGATGAACATCCAATCACAGCTCACACTTCTGACCTATGGTGAGTGAGTGTGGACCATTTGTAGTAACCCATTTCGTAATTAATTATTGTACAAGTGCCGACGTTGATCGCATAACTTTTTTGCGTTTTACACTCTTGAGGTTAGAGAAAACCTCCAAATGGTTTCCCGCCTCATCGTGGCGGGGAGGTGTTACTGGGTGTGTGGGGCTGCGGTGTACATCGGCGGCATTCATCCCACAGCAGAGCTTCTAAGCTGAGGGTCCGGCATTTCCATCAGGAAGCCCAACTAAGAGAAAACCAATACCAGGACCCACCACCGCCCTGGTATCAAACTAGTTGCATAGTGGCAAATCTCCTTCTGATCCACAAAGGCGCGACTGCCTGTGGTGGTGACGACCTGGGTCAGACTCTAGCCAAGCTGACCTCGGGATTTCAGAGAAACACAGTATCTGAACCAGCAAAACTCCGAATAATGGAGAATATGTTGGACTACGCACAACTAACGAAGACGGGCCGTCCAAGTATACAAGTAAGTCTTCTGGTTAGAATACCATGGTCAAGAGTGGTTGAAGATTTTTTTCGGAAAGGTGCAGTAAGCAATTATGTCTTTCGTTGTCATTCGATAGCTGCACTCTCTACGTATTCCTGTTTGTTATAATAGGTAAAAGGATAAAGCTCTCGGTGTTGATCAGTCCCTGAGGTATGCGTCATGCATTCGACTTCAGAAAATATCGTTAGAAGTGATTGAATACATATCTGGCCTTTTACAATGTCTCGCGATGGCCTATCGATGTATTGAACCACTGCTGCTATCTTCCTAGATATGTCTGTAGAAATGCCCATCCCAGAGGGATGGAAGACCCGGTGAGCCTGGGCCGAAGGAATCGATCCTATGCGTATTGCAGGGCGCTACCGACCACTCAGCTGCACGCTTCCGTTTTAGTTGAACTTAGATATCTCAAGGCATAGTCTTTCTCATTGATGTGTACCCTTCTTTCATTAATATATACATTCATATATACCCTTCTTACGATGAGCAATTTTTTCTTGTTTTGGTAAACAGGCATTCTTATTTCGCCCTCCAGACCTTTTCTTCCTATTCACTCGTCCAGCAGCGAGGTTGTGAGGAGAATTTTGAAGACCAACCACCACCGAGTATTCTAGATCTTCATTTTTTTTAAGGAGGTCAACGTACTTCGTTATTTAGGTGTCAAGCAAGCAAAGATGGGGAGATTCAGCCAATAACATGGGCGCGCTTTATCCGAACAAAAGATAAGAAGGTTTTAAAGGTAACAATACTTTTATCTTTCTTCTTCAAAAATTATCTCCAGTTGTGGGCATTACTGTTTTTCCAAAACATCTATTTTTTTTGATATTTTGGCACTTGGGGAATTTAGACACCTTTACTAAAAATCTTGCGTAATCGCTCCAAATTTATGCAAAGGATAAAAAAGGATAAAGCTCTCGGCGTTGATGAATCCCTGAGGGATGCGCTGTGTATTCGACCTCATTGAGCATCGTTTGGAGGTGATTGAATGCATATCTGGCCTTTACAATGACTTGCGGTGGCCTACTGATGTATCGAGCCAGTGCTGCCCTCCCAGACGAGTCTGGTACCAATTTGCCGACTCTGGAGGTACGGAAGGCTTGATGGGCCATGGGCGCGGAGATCAATTCTACGTGTGCGTTGCAAGGTGCCTTCGACCACTGCGCCGCACCCGCCCTCCAAATATGTGTATACATGTGATTTTTGCAAAATATTACCTTTATTTAGACATTATAGAGTTAAAATCTTCAAATTTTACCACAAAAAGGATATTTAAAGATTTTCGACGAGTGCTGAGCATCCGTCGACGTCGCCTTCGGGGGCATCGGCATGTCTTGCTGGACAAAATCCCACCTGTTCAATCGCTTCTCGGCTTGAGATATAACCCTTGACCTAAAAGCTAGAGAAAACTACCTTTTGGGCTACAAGCACCTGAAATTATGTCGCAGGTGAATACATGATCATGTTCTCTGTTGGCTTTAATCTGTGGACTCTAATTTTTTTTGTATCAACTATTAAGAAAGTCCGCTGTGAGCTGATTTCCTTTTATAGTTCAAAGGTAACGTTGTTTTTGGCAAAAGCATATGGTCGCAATTATTAAAATTTTCATACATAGTCCTCTGTACCGTAGCTGGGCTTATGCGACCACCATCTCTATTGTTAGAGCGTATTGTGCAAATTTTAGTTGTGCACGGATCGCCTTACAGGTTGTGACGGGCCAGGTGGCGTCTGACAGTCTAAGGCGGTATTTCAATCACTGCGACCGAATTCCCTAGACCGGCCTCTTTTTAAGCAACGTTTTATAGCTGCCCTTATTTCGTTCAAGATAAGGGACAGGTATAAATGGGATTTTGATCTCGCTAGAATTATCGCTAGGGAGCGTGGATTTTTCTCTACACCTATCCGGAGTAACTGCAGCTTCGTAGTCATTCGAAATATAGTAGCTATGTGTCCCTCCAATGTTAGGAATTCTTTCTTCTGCTCTCTTCCTGCGCGGCTGTTTGAAATATGTTTCCTGTTTCCACCCTTTTGTGTATAAGAGGTGAGAGGGAAAGTAGTGAACCAGTAGTTTTTGTTACTTGGTTTTCGATACCGTCTGATGATGTAACCGTTTTCGGATAGATTAATTTGAGCATTCGAAATTGAAGTCCAGTTTCGTTTCGGCTTTTCTCGGATGAATGTTATTTAGTCTGACGGTTCGTTCAATGACTGAAAACATTTGTCCACCTCTTGTGTGCAGCAGATGGTAAAACGATCAGCTATATACCTACAGTAATGGGCAGTGATCGAGTAACGATTCTTCCACTTTAGGCACAAATGTGGTGGGAAGGCGTGGAACTAGTCGTTTTCCCATTGCCAACCTTCTCATTTGTGCGAAACTTTTATCGGACCATCTAAGGACTGAGAGCTTTAGGCTCTCCCTGTTTAGTCCAATAGCTGCACACGTTTACTGGTCCTTCGTGTTGCACAAGGAGCTCGCGGATGGCTTGTAATGCGGACTCATTCCACATATTAATTAAAGGGAGGTAACGTTCAAGGACTCCATCATGTGCGCTCTTAGGACGCGCTTTACGTAGGCTATCCAGGAACGCCTTAGTGTTCGTAAGATGAACTGGGATGTCTTTCAACAGGTGGTTAAGCATTAGGGCTAAAAACCATGTTATTCTGTGTACTAGTTCGTTTACACGGCTAGTGATAGGTCTAACCTTGCACAATAATGGATCGTAGAAACTTATTTTTGCCAAGTGTGAAACGGAACAAGTTGTTAATTCAACTTTGATTTAAGAAGCAACTGATAGTTTTAAACCTGCCGCGCTGGCTACTTCGAACCATTCGTTGTTCAATTTTCGATGTTGGCCTTTGAATTCCTTTTCAAATTATGGGCGATAAGGTGAAGCGTCTTCTAGATGCTTTTCCGTTATCTGAAAGTTTAACTGGCAAAAATTTACAGCGAAACTCTCCACTCTTACCACTAACGGTTGATGTAGTGTTTTTTAACGTTATGAACACTTGAACCTCTCTCATGCCACATTTTTGCGTTTCTGTGAGGTTGAAGCGGAGTTTCTTCGCGTGGTTAACGAGGTTTCGCCAGCAAATATCCGAAATGTGCTATCAATTCATTGTTGTCGTCTTGTTGTTTTGAATACGTTTGGGGAAGCGGCACTAGTGATAATGCCCTTGGGACTTAACTTTTATTTCGTTTGAATTACTATGGTCATTGCGTTGAGTGTGCGTATATAAAAAACACCGAAATAGACTCAACATGGGGTGCAATGTACTTCCAAACGCAGACAGCATTGTATTTGCACAGTGGACCATAGTTGAACGAGTATAAGCATACATATCACTCATAAACGGTAGAGCAGAATCTTTTCTACGATTCGATCACGTTTATCCATTGAGCGTCCTAGTTATTGAAAAACTATGTCTTATTGTTAAAAAACCAGAAAGTCCGAGGCCTACAAAAAATTTCTCGTATTCCATTTGGAAAACCATGCCAAACGATGCGCGGCGGTTGTTGGTTAGAAGTCAAACTCACCACGCTAACGAAGGCCAAAGAAAGCTAGAACTTAAGAAGTGAAATTACTTGAACACTAGAGGAAATTGTATGGCCTTGCAGCTTCATATATCATTTGGACTTTTTTGCACTTCCGTAAAATACCGTGTAGTTTACAATATTCTGTTTTATTCAAGTAAAGTAGGCCTATGCCTGTTGAAATATCTCTTTCTTCGTTAAACAGTAAGGATAAAAGGGTAAATTTTTCGCCGTCAATCAATTCCTGAGAGATGCACTGTGCATTCGGCTTCATCAAGCATCGTTGGAGGTGATTGAATGCATATCTGGCATAAGCAATGACTTGCGGTGGCCAAGCGATGCATAGAGTCGATGGAACTAACTGAACGGCTCCAAATTTGTGGATAGCTTCGCAATTCCGGGACGCGGGACCAACGACTGTATTTGTGTATTGGAGGGCACTTTTAGCCACTCCTGCACTACTCCTGGTCAATTAATACTTAGAAAGTATCATGTTATATTATCACATTGCAGAGAAGTTAAGAAGAAAGATTTTCTAGGCTCATCTGGATCCTGACAACCGACGAGCACGTCTGATATTCGGGAATGTGAGTGTTGCTCAAGCTGGAAAATACCGCTGTGAAATCCGCACTGAGAATGGCGAACTCGTCTTTGGAAATATGTTCGCTTATTGTGAGCCGATTTTCTTCAGGTCTTCAATAACAAGAAGTTGTTTTTATAGGCGAAAACTATATAAATAAAATTGGCATTTGGTGAAATGAAGAAAGACTCTATTTTCAACTAAAAAACCGTAAAATTTTTCAAGAATAAATCTTAAGCGAAAGCTCTTCTCGATAGAAAGAAAAGTGTATAGGTCTTACTCGTTTGGCGAAGCTATTGCTGCAGAATCGCCAATGACTACATTGTCTCTCTTTGTACGAAAAGCATTTTATTATTTATTTTTTTTCGAAACATCCAATATTTCCTTACTTGCGTGGACCCATGGAAATGTGATGCTTATCTCTAAGAAACAAGTTGTTATCACTGAACCACCAATATTATCAGCGACCACAGCTCTGTATACAATAGTATCACCGAGTGAGGTTGCTTCATTCGAACGGTGCTCTACTAGGGAGGATCCGACTCGATACGACGACGAAGATCCCACATCGAGAGCACGTACGACTGTGGACCATCGACTCGGATCATCGGGTCTGTTGAAGGCTAAGACATTGAACCGTTAGCCGAATAAAGCTGTTTATCAACCCCATGTAAGCTTATCAATGAAAGAATACATGTGGTGCTTATCCCTCCTTTTCTAGATATTGTGATTATTGGTTGCCCTATAAAATATATTATTTTTGCTGTTTTGTTTAACGTGTGTAAAGCAGTCGTCATGTTTTAAGTAAATATAGTCCATTATACTAATAAACGTCTAGTAACTATGAAACTGAAAATTCTGTCTCCTTCGTTAATTTTTTATTGATTTTTGACACCTTATCGATTTTATTTCTGAAAAACTGAGGAATTTTCTTTTACGATAAGTCTATGTAGTGCCTTTTGTCGACACGGAGTGTACCCCTTCAAAATGCTTTAAGTTACTTGATACTTGATACTTGAACGGCCCGTCATAACTAGTTGTGCGGGCCCCAGCATAAACCATTTTTCAGAGATTTGCTGGTTAAGCCATTGTGATTCTCTGGAATCCCGAGGACACCCTGGCCAAAGTCTGCCCCAGGTCGTCACCACCACAGGCAGTTCCAGCCTTTGTGTATCAGAGAGAGGTTTGCCACCATGCGACTTTGATACCAGAACGGTGGTTGATCCTGGTATTACTTTACTCTTAGTTAGGCTTCCTGATGGAAACGCCGATCTCGTTCTCAGCTTAGGAGATCCTGCCGGGGTGACGAATCCCCCCGCTGTGCATCGCAGTCCGACACCCAGAAACACCTTCCAGCCACAATGAGGCGGTAAACTGTTGAGGGGATGCTTTAAGTTATGCGCAATAATGCTTTAAGTAATGTGCGCTATGTTAACCATTTATTTAGTGCCTGCTACAGTTTTTCACTGAAGGATATTATGTGAAATGCACCTACAATAATGGTGAGATATTTGCAAAACTCCGGATCGCAGGTATCTGTAGTGGGGATCGAACACGCTATTACCCTTTCTGGGTTTATTGAGTTCACCACCACACCATGCGGACCCTTCATTTCGCTTTTTTGTCAGCTAATTTGCTACCTAACTATGCTACCAGCAATTATCCATCAATAGGATCGATCTGGTTAGGCTGAGGTTATGGTCGAAATAACAATGCGAACTTTTTATTTGCTGCTTACTGTAGTTTTTCATGGCAGGGTATTATGTAAAATGCAACCACAATGATGCCGATCCCGTTGACGGGTAACGGCGCCATTAGGTAGAATATTAGCTGAGATAAAGGAGAAACGATGGATCTGCATGGTGCGGTGCTGAACGCGTTAACCTCCAGAAAGGGTAATAGCATGTTCGATCCTTTCCGTTGACACCTTCGTTCCGGATAATGTACCCTAATTCCTCTTTCCGAGAAATATTTTTTTTTAGCTCGTCCGGTGGTGCATGTTAACTCGTCCGACTCGGCAACCGTATCGGCTTCCGACCCAACGCTGGTCATTGCGGCCCATATGTCTTCCCTCAAAGGGGCCACAGCCCTCATCGTCTGTCCTGTGAACGCATATCCGCATCCATACACCGTATGGTACAAGGATGGAATCCCTCTCGGTTAGTGGCTTTCCTGTCTTTTCGTATTTTCTCGTGCCTTTCAAAGCTTCTTATGGATCACAGTCGTGAGATTCCTGTTGATTCCGACGACAAGCTGGTTCTCGCTTTTTCTCGACACTCTATGAGAGACTTCTAATTAAACATGGTGTGAACTTCTAAAAAATTATTTAAACAAGGACTATACTGAAATTTAAAGGAAAGCTAGAAATTCTAGAGAAGGTATTCTGACGTCTACTACTTGTTGTTCCATTCCACTGCTACGTTATTCACTGTGCTTATTTCAGTCGTAGTTCCACTAAATCTCACAAGTATGAGAAACCCAATACTTTTGACTTCATAGTAAGTTCAAGCGCCAAATTCAAATTCCAATTCAAATTTCATAACAGCCTCGTTTAACCTGGACAATCTCAAAAGATACAAGAAACTCAATTGATGCATTCTAGAGGTGTCACCCAGAGTTACATTCCGGAAAAACTCTGTTGAAATCAAGGACTTAGAAGACGATGATGCTGGAATTTATAGGTACCTTGAGTTTAATATCTTTTTTTTAAAGCATGATTCATTTTTCTCGCGGCTGCTTAAGTCTCTCAAAGTCTTACTCGCTCTCCATAGACAGATTTGAATCAAACGTTAAAGTGCGGTGTTAAGCCTGGAAATCCGAAACGATGAAATATAGCGTATTCATTCCGTCTTACAAAGGATTTTTCTTTTAGTTCCAGCCCTTCTTTGTTAGTATTTTTCTAAGCACCTTTTTGTTTCATATTTCACTTTTCTGGACTTTAGAACATCAAGTTCTCACTAAGATGTCTGTTCATGTCTAACCATATTGATTTAGTACAGCTGATGCATTTTTTAAGGGAGAAAGGAGAGACATCGGTCATTTGATAAAGATTCACAGTTTTTCTTCAAAGTCTTTTACCCTAAAAATTCTAGAGACTATAATCGACATACTAATAATACGTGCGTACTTACTCTTTACGATGAAAGGCATTCTATACATTTTTCAAAATCAAAACGTTTTCACCTTCCTCTTACTGCGCCTATTGGCTAAAGCTGTAATCTTACAAACAAAATTACTAGAGTGAATTCGTAGTTTTTCAAAAGTCGAAAGCTCTCTCATACTTTTTCTTAACTGAAAGGCAGGCGAAACGAAGGACCGACGTGGTGTGGTGTTGAACGCGTTAGCCCCTGAAAGGGTAATAGAGCGTTCGTTCCCCACCGCAGATACCTGCGGTCCGGTGTTTTGCACATATCTCAGCATCATTGAACTTATACTCTCATACTTCGATTGGGCTTTTCATCAGTTGTGATTTCAGCTAGGTTTCTCGAGCCCTGTTTTCCCAAATCTTGTGTATAATTTCCGTTCAATAAACTTATTGTTGATAATCCAGGTGTGTTGCATCGAATCAGTTTCCCATATACGTTGATGGTCCCGAACAGGAATTCGAAGTGATGTTTGATCGAGAATTGAGAATAGGTGGTTAGTTTTCACGCCGGACTCTTTTCTTTACCAATCACGATTATTTCTACGGGATTATTTTCGCATAACTGACTCGAACTTTTCCCAAAAGTAAGGGATTTAAATCTGTACACTTTAAGAGGCGCACAAACCGGTCCTAATAGAATTTTTCCAGACAGCGTCCGTTATCCTTTCCTTGTCTTGTGGGAAGCGATTCTTTGTTTTTGGGAGATATTTCGGAATTCCTGGCATTTCGCCATTTTTAAAAATTTCTGAGCTAGTTTTCAAAACTAACTTCTTGTAGGGAAACCGATGAGGTTCTACAATTTTTATCGAGAAGTAACTCGAACATTCCTAACTTGACCAAAATTAAGACGTCATTGTGTTTTGTGACTTCTCTGAATTCATTTCCTCAAAACCTTTAAATTTCTTCATGTTGTAGAGAACCATTGTTTCCATTTAGATTGAAATCCAAGGGATCTCGTGCATTCGAGGTGTTTGAAAAATAGAATCGTTTTTTGTTTATATACAAAATCAAAAGTGCTTCAACTTCGTGAAAGGATACGTTGATGTCCGATGTATTTCGCTCTCCTTATTGTTAATGTGTTGTCTCCTGGGTTAAATATCTGACATTATGAGCATCTAGAAATCTGTAGAACTGTAGAAGCGCCAAAACATCGACCGTCCGCGGAAACTGTCCGCTGGCAAAATCTGGTGCGTTTTTCTTTCGGCGCGCCAGATTGTTGTCACTAGGAATTTTCCCTACAGTTTGCTGCCTCATTTCTGCTTGGTATTCGCAAAGAACTCTCATCAAATATTCGGAGGAAAAATGGTGGTGTTCTCATTGTTGACAACTACTGCATTCGTGATTCTTCCAGGGAACTACGGCTGGGTGCTTCCTCTTATAATCATTTTGATTATTATCGCTCTTCTTTTCATCATTATCTACTCCTGTCAAGCCTGCAAACGATACAAGGCCAATCAGTATCACGTCGCAGAGCGAGAGTGAGTTCGATCTATTCTTTTCATGAAAACTGGCTTCCGAGAAAAGTCTCATACCTCTACTTTTTAACGTAAATGATTGACGCGTTGGCGAAAATGCGCATTGTCGCCAATACATATGACTTATATTGAATTTTTCGAAATAGAACCATTATAATCTATGTCTTTGCCAATAAGACACAAGTTTTCGTACTCTACCACTTTGATATTCTTATCTTTTGGATCTAGCTGTTCTTCAGTTTTTTCTTAGGATTAACGGCTTTTTTAATTGAGGCAATGTCTACGAATGATCTAATGTAAGCTGCTGTCACGCTTTTTGCGTGAGGTTTTCCAAAAATTTGCTTTGTTAGCCAAAAGTTTTCGGCTCTTACCAAAAAATCAGTACGGTCGTAGAACGCTTGAACGTAATCTTTTGAGGTTTAACCGGCACTCACAACGCCTATCCGAAATGCGCACTTCAAATCTTCGAAACCTCTCCCATCTTCGGGATACAGGGAAACATAGATGGACCAGTAACATAGAAGAACGGATGAAAAATGAATAGAAAGAACAATGAAATGGGCTCCAAGGGAACATAAACGTCCACTGGGACAAGATAACCTTACACGTTGGGCGGACGCGTTTGTGACTGAAGTCAATCAGCTGTATTGGTTATACAGATCACGGTATGACTCGCACCCTGTACTATGCTGGGATCAAACCATGACCACGGACATCCAACGCAATGCATGAAAAAGATTGCATAATGATGTGCTGGTGTCCGGAGAGAGGCCGTCCAAGTACCAAAGTAGATAATTGAAATTGCTACGCATCGAAGTATGTGCAGAACGACCAAACTGCCAGCTGTATATAATGACTCCACCGAAAACTCGTTGCCAATGTTTCACTGGTCTCCGGTGATCGACTTCACAACACGTATATTTGAAATTTAGACTGCAAACAACGTAGACAACATATTTTCAAACATTTTCCATACTCTTCCACTCTGTAGGATGAGCATGATGATTCATCGTGGCAATTGAAAAAGTATGAACAAGCAGCCTCTGGTCAAAAATTTAATATTATAGGGTTGAGTCGTATTGGCAGAGTGTGAATTAGACCTCACTTCCGGCCAGCTGTTCAATGAAGAACGCTTTATGCTATCCATCGAATATCTTCCAGAAAGTGAATCGAGCTAACGATCATTAAGTCGAATAATGTGGTAGCTCGCGCCATGGATCGGCGAAGATAGCTAACCTAGGGTGAATCAACTACTCTTGCTTGGATTTAAAGAATGGAAACGTTTTCATAAATCGTTACAGATGAGTGATGTTCGAGATTTTGTTATAAAAGAAGTAAAGAAATACAGGCAAGAAAGGCACCAGCATTGGAATCATAAACTATTGAAGAAATTTCTCCAGGAAATCTTCATAAATCTCTATCTAAAGTTGGGAAATGTAGTGAATACCATGGATAAGATATTCTGTGGAATTCTCTGATGAAAGAAGGTATTTGTACGCCACCGCGAGATGGCTGAGATAGGTTCGTTTGAAAACCCTGATTGCCACGTGCTGAATAGCAAGAGGAGACTCCTCAATTAGTTCAACCACGGGCTGAAAATTATTGATGGGACACATCTACTGTTAATATCTGCAGGAAACCTCAATTCATGAATACTACGGGCCAAGTCTGTCAGTTTGATTCTAATCAACAGAGTTCAAGCTATGAAAGGAACGGAGACGTCTTATTGTTTGGCACAAGGAATTCAAAGAATATCACGACTACTGCCGTACTTACCAAACGGGTCGACACTTGGCACAACCAATACGGGAAAAGTATGCGTTTGGATTCTTGCAATTAAATCTACAAAAATATGCATAAAGGAAGAAGAACAAGGCTTTCGGCGTTGCTCAATCCCTGAAGGATGCGGTATGCATTTGTATTCGTCAAGCTTCATCGCAGTTGATTGAATGCATGTATGGTCTATACAAAGACTTTCGGGGACCTATGGATGTATCAGATCAGTTCAGCAAGCACGAGGTGCTATTTTATTTCTTTATTTACGCACAAGCTGACGTTTCAGCGGATTTCGCCTTCCTCAGAGCCGCGAAATCCGCCGAAACGTCAGCTTGTGCGTAAATAAATAAAATAGCACTTCGTGCTTGCTGAACAGAAGTAGAGAGATATATTCAATCAATGCCGAGGCTAATAGAAAGTCGGACTTGGGAGTTATCAGATCAGTGTTACTTGTCGACCCTGGAGAGATAAAGGACTTTTTGAACACGAAACGCTGGATCAAGCCAACGTGTGTATTGCAGGGAACCTTTAGCCTCTGCGCTAAATGCAGCGTTACAAAATGGGTATATGATTGCAAATTGAGTATAAAAAGTGTAAAGGGCAAGTTTAAAAGAAAATGAGCACGAAAGAATTGAGAATCTCTATTTCTAAAGGTACATCGTTTGCAAGCACATTGATGAAGCGCGCTGTAAGAGCTCGCGTCCAAACTTCTACGTACAGATTGGAGACGAACAAACTCCTCGTAATAAATTATTATACATAATTACCTGCAGAAAATAGCTATCGGCATACACCTAATATTATACATATGCTATACTTCGATCTAATGCAAGATATAAGCGCGCGCAAAAGGCAAAAGAAAAAAAAGTGTAGACGACGAGTCGTATGTAGCTCATATCGTCGCAATTATCTTTATACTTAACTCGTTACATAAAATACGATTTGCTTCTTTTTTATAACTCAGTAGGGCTAAGAAAGCCTTAATTTCTATTTTTTACACTCATGTACGAAATTTCACACCAATAGTACCAGAAAAAACGCGATGCTCTTACTTTCTAGGCGACAACTTCGAAATGCCGATGATCAGCGACTTTCCGACTACAAAGACGTCTGATTGGCTTCACGGAGAACGTTGACGTCTTCTCTACGACATGTACTTGCGCTTCAATTCACTTCACACATCACTATTATTTGCTCCTAGATTCCTAACTTCATCAGCCCAACAATTCGTAACTTGCTAATGAAAGCCATAAAGTGATAGACAGCTTACATTAGCACACCGCCTTCGATACTCACTGCCATATCCAGCCCCGATAGACTTTGCCTCTTACGTAGCCTAGTAGTGACTGCTCTTTTCATTACGAGTACATACCGTTTGCGAAATTTTGTAAAATATACAGTTTATATTTCGACCAACCACCCCTAATATTTCTCTGTCATTGTTGAAATTTACCGTTGATTTTTGAACTCTACTAAGACATGCCATACTATTAGAGTAAATAGGTCTTTACTTAAATGATCGACGCGTATAGTAGTGTTTAAATTTTAAATGATCCATGATCACACCTATTGTACGGATCGTAGCACTTCTTCGAACAATTTGTATGCTGTTTCGGCTGAAACGGGATTTCGTCTTCTTTATGAATTTTGTAGAATGCTAGTTGACTCCATTCTCTTTTCAATCTTAGAGATAGCCAGGCTATGGCGTTACTACGTGGAATGGTGGACAGCGTTGGGGATGGGGTCGAATTAGCGCATTTGCTTCCTGATCGAGGGCATCGCTAACCACTGCGCTGTGGTATTGGAACAATGGATTATAAACTTTGACGGAGTTCTATAATGACAATTATGCCTTCTACCCAAGGGTCCACTGAGTAAGCAGTTTTCTAAGACACAAATGTCATTGCTAGGCAACAGGTACTTCTTAGTTTCCCGAAGAGAAACAAACGAAAGTAAGACGTGGCCTTAACCAACCACTTTTAAATGGAAACAGCATGGTTCCCCACATTTTTGAGGAATTCTTTGCTGTCATTAAGTGTCTGCGTCGATCTCATCCCTTTTCGGTAATGCGATGCTAACTCAATACAATTTATTGAATGATTTCGCATTGTTGCCTCAAAAACCGCCTTCGTAACTTTCAATGAATTATTTGTGAACTCTAGATATTCTTGTCCGCTTGTATCCGTATAGTTTTTTAAAGATGGAACGCTACGAGTTAGTGCTCACTAACCATGCATCAACACCACGATGCATACAGTGTGCTCAACTAGACCCACACAGTTCTTTTTCTACTGTTTTCAATTCTGCTAGTTACTCGACAGTCACAGACTCCACATTGACTGACTTTTTGAAATGGATTAATGTAAAGTACTTGGATTGATACGCCTGCAATAAAAGCCAGATTAACAATGTTTTAGTTCAACAAGGTAGTTCACAGTCACAACGCACACTCCTGAGACAGCACCGATTTAACGACTTTTTATTATTCTTTTATATTGATAGACTTACCATATAACAATGATAACTCCACGACTACACGTTCAACCAACAAGTCTTTATGAAATAATCGCGTCAGTTTCATCAGTTCCAACAAGGACAGGAGAAACTTTGCAAAAAAAAAGAAGAAAAAATGCAACGGGAAGCGATGTTTGCGTCTTGCTGCTTGTTAGACCTCCAAAGGGAAGGTGAAACAATAGGTGCCGTAGGCGTAGTTGTTGAAAATATGAACAAAACTTGATAAGAACGACAAATACGCACGATAGTATCGATACTATTGCATTCCTGGCAAACCCGGCATTTGTCCACCTGATTGTGCTCTTACGTTCTTCACAGTTTGATCAACCGATAGAACCAAACACACAGCCTCAGTAGCAGCAATTATGGCATTCTGCAAAGGCACAAGACAACTTCTCTAAGAAAAAAGTGCAGATTCTATTTAAAGTGTACGTATATTACAACTTCTGGACATTTTCTCACTAAAAAAAGCTGAGAAGTACCAAAATAGTAACGCAGCCCTCTTAACGTAACTTCGGAAAAACCTATTTTGCAATAAAAGGAAGCATTTATTCAGTCCGATGTTGTAGCGGTGACACTGATACACACTGCATGAATATCTAACTTAAAGGATGTAGTGAAAAAACAGTTGATACCCTAGTGACTAATGAATAAGCAAAAGCGTTCAACCAAAGTATCTATTAAGGTCTTTTGCATTGCTAGATAGGTGACACAAGAGAACAGACCTTTTTCACCAAACTGGGTTCCCAAATGCAAGCGGCGAGGTTATCTCCAACCTCCTCCTTATGAACATCAACACCAGCCCATACTTCACCTGAAAAAAAATCAGCTGAACACAGTTTTAGACTAAAAAAAGATTCAGACCAATAGAATGACGATGACGAAGTTTGTTCAGAATATCGATAGCGTCTATTCCAGCGTTGTAGCACAGTTGTTGTGGAATAATCTGTAGAGACAAACGCAACTTTACTTAATAACATGGAAATTTGAGCATCATCTACCTCAAAACTACGTGCGAAGGCACTCCAGAAGAACTGTTCCTTTCCAGCAATCGTCTTAGCCTTAGCACGTAAGTGACGTGATAATTCCATCTCTATCGCACCACCACCTACAATAGTTCAGTAAATAGTAAATATTTAAAAAAAACTAGGACAGTTGCGAAATATGGGCAAAAGTGCAGAAGCTACCTGCAACAATTGAATCGTTCTTTTTTGCCCGACGTACAATCATTATGGCGTCATGCAAAGAGCGTTCGGTCTCAGCAATAAACTGTTCAGCTCCACCACGCAAAAGAAGAGTACAAGCGTGTGCACGAGCACAACCTTCGAAGAAGTTGTAACTGAAGCAAAATCACTAAACATTAAAATAAAGAAATTTGACCAAAATTCCTGAATAGAATCGAAATATGGCACCTACCGTTCGTTACCCACTTGTTGCTCATAAAAAGTCTCGCATTTTCCGAGAACTGATTTGTCAATTTGTGAAACAGTAGTGAGGATTGAACCACCGCATGCTGCCATGACACGATCCAAATCATCCTGCGGAATACGACCGGCACAGAACATATCTCTAGAACTAGTTTTTTTAAAACCGCTAGCCCAATGTTCTCGAATCCCGCACTCAAAAATCTCCAGAAACTGGCCACTTCTAACGTCAAAGTCGCTTACCTATCAGCAAACCACTGTGTCGCTACATCTCCAATTGGAAGCTTCGAGAGAACAACTTTTGCACCACTTTCGTAAATTTTCTGCAGCTTCTCATAAAGAATATTCCATTCTGCATCAACAACCTAAACAACAACTAACCTCAACACGAGGAAGAAAGAGAAGTCAGTTATATAATATTGTGGCAAACAACGAATCCGTACTACTGAGGCAAAAAATGCATAGTTTAAGCTTATACCAAGCGATTGGTTTGTACATCGCATTACCAAAAATTATCAGTAACGAAGAGATAAGAAGGAGAAGAGTACGAATAGATTCACCAAGAGATTCACCTAGTGAAAAATCCATCATGCAAAAATAATGAAGAATGGATTGCTTTTCAATACGATGAAAGTATGTTACTTTTACTCTTGGCATTTACTGAATACGATAAACGATGAAAAGAAAGAATTGCGTAGAATACAAAGAGCTGAACCAGCTACGTTTAGGAGACTTGGATAACCCATTAGCTGAGAAGCTCAAAACACAGAATATAACTCGAAGAAGTTTTCTTGCTATTCACCTCAGATTCGCGCAGCCACCCCAATCCCAAAATTTCATCCGTAATCCACAAAAGATCTGAACGATGCTTTTCGAACACATATAGGATAACCGCGAGATGAAAAGAATCGTCGAAGAATGTACGAATCGCGAAATATGACAAACTTCAAGATGATGTAAGAACCTTGTAGAAGAAGAATTTTCACGATGAGCAGACGCCTATATAGCTCACATCAACCAGTTCCAATCCGATAAAGAACTTTACATAGCATGATATTCGCAGACGTTTCCAGGTATAAAATAGACCGATGTAATAGACTAATCAACAGTGTTCTCTCATTGATAATCTAACATGTGGTTGATAAGAAACTTTATTAGGCTAACATTTCAACGTCTTTGTCTTTGTCAGACCCATGATCCGAGTAGATAGTCTACGCCCTTCGTACTGTCCATGTGGTGTTTTCGTCGTCGTATCGAGTTTTTTTAAAGTTTTTTTTTATGATTCTTAAGTGCAGCATCGCTCGAATGAGGCTATCTTACCCAGCGACTCTATATGACGTAAAAAGACTAGCCAAATAAAGCTGATTATCAACCTCTGTTAGTCTCTCAATGCAAAAACATATGCTGATTAGTCATACCGACGCTAGAATAAAGTCGGTATCTAAAATATTGTTATGCTTTGTGCCAGCTGATAATGATATCGACTTCTTCAAGATGACTTGTCCGAGAAAAACATGTTATTTTCACCGTATAACCACGACTAAGCACTGTCATCCCTGTACACAAGAGCATCACCGGATGAGGTTGCCTCATTTGCACGATCCTCCACTGAAAAAGGTCAAACTCGATGCGACAACGAAGACACCACATGGAGAGTACCAAGAACTGTGGGCTATAGACTCGGATCGTCTGCTCTAAAGAAGACGAAGACGTCGAAACGTTAGCCGAATAAAGTTGTTTACTTAAGTTCACGCGTTAGCTTATCACTGAAGTAACACACAATGTCACAGATGGCCACGAAAAAAGATGAGTTAAAACTGCTGAGCTCTGCAAATTTACCAAATATGGTCCATTAAAAGCGTATATAAGGAAAGCTCTCCGTAGAAATTTCGATTAGGTTACTTATTTTTCCCCAAATAATATGGTTTCCTCATCCGAACATCCTTTTTTGTTACCCTTTAGAACTTACCTGAACACCTGATCTGCAACCAATGTTAGAAACGTGGCGAGAGTCTTCACAGGTACACTATGCAAGAAAAGAAATGCATTGTTGAGTATTTCTGCCTACCGCCTGGAAATCATCGACAGAAGTAAGTCGCATTTCAGCGTTATCCTTTTCCGCTTTGAGCTCCAACTCAATGTTGAGAAGTGCAACAAGTGGATTCTGATAATGCTTTGGCTGCATTTCGAATCCTGCATAGCTGAACGCTTTCTGGAAAGCTACGCCTTTCACGAGACGAGATTCCTAAACGCGAACAATGACCGTGTAACAAATAAAAAATCACTAAAAGGGAAATAAAGATAGCGGTTGAGTTAAAATACCCACATTTAAGTTTCCACCACTGACTTTCTTGATACCTATCATGTTGATTGGTAACGATTCGTCAAGGATGTTCACTGCGTCAACAACCATTTCAGCGAAGAATTCCCGCTCCTGACTAACCTATAATATGTTTGGGTAAACAAATTTCAATGGTTTTAGAATAAAACCTTGGAAATATGGGACTAAATACGGCACAAACTTTCAATTTATGTGGAGAGGAAAACAGCTATAGTTTACAAATATCGTATAGTAATAGAATACAAATGGAGCCTCAAAATTAGAACAGCGAATTTTTTCCTGATAATATTTGAAAAGGAGCTCTTGAACTTTTCGAAAAGGGTCAAACACTCCCACTAAACAAGTCGCATTCCATTTATGTACGACTAAGAGCGGAGTATAAATAAATATTGTCAAACTGAACAAAATGAAAAAGAAATTCGTGATGGACCACGAACAAAAAACACTTAGATGCTATGAAGACGAAAAATCAAACCTACAAGCTTGCTACTAAGCGTTGTCATTGCACACTTGATTAACATTTGCCTTAATTCTGTTTCGCCTTCGATCTTAACAGCTAACTCGGAAAGACGATTCAAAGCCTGCAATCAGCTAAGATATGCAGGAAAGAACAATAGCAAAGTAATAATTGCAAATGATATCTCCACGTTAACGCTTTATTTACTGCCTACTACAATTTTTCAAGGCAGGGTATTATGCGAGATACAACCACAATGGTACTGAGATAATTTGAAAAACTCCGGACCGCAGGTGTCTGCGGTGCGGATCGAACACGTTATTACCCTTTCCAGGACTAACGTATTCGCCACTACACCATAACGGCCCTCCGTTTCGGTATTCCCTCAACTATTTTTCTATCCGCCAGAGTCATTGCTGCTGAGAGGTGACTGCTGACCATTGTAATAATGGCATCACCTACTGACGGTCCTACACAGGATTGTTGCAAAATTTTACTATGCCTAATGTTTCGATACCGCTGCTTTTATAAGAGCCGCAATGACACGTATCGGTTGTCCATAGTAATTAATAGGTGCCTTTCTATGACTACTTACAAGCACCCAGTACAATACAATGGAACCGTTTTACAATAACATTGCGCAGGCTTATCAATCCTACCAACGGTTTGCCGCCTCATCGTGGATGTCAAGTGTTCCTAGGTACCGGGCTGCGATGTACAATGGAGGATTCATCCCCCCGGCGACGGCAAGGCCTCCCGAGCTGAGAAGGACTCCGGTGTTTTCACCAGGATGTCCAGCTAGGAATAAACCAATACCAAGATACACCACCTTGGTATCAAACTAGTCGCATGGTGGTAAATTCCGTCCTGGTTCAAAAGGGAGGAGAGGAATGCCTGTGGTGGTCACGAGCTGGGGCAGACTTTCGCCAGGCCGTCTTCGGCACTCCCGGGAACTACAATGGTTAAACCAGCATATATCCGGAGGATGGAAATTATGCTAGGGCTCGTACAACCAGTGAAGACAGGCTAAAGTATCCAAGTAAGTAACCTTATCAATAAACCAACAAAACTGGGACTGACCTCTTCGCTCGCTCTGCTCACAGCGCGAATAAGTAATTGAGGATGAACGCCGTCTTCGATAAAGGGTTTCATACGCTTAAGAATCTCTGCCGCGAGGATAACCACTGAAAGCGTTATGCATATCAACAGCAGCACCTTGTTCAAAGCATGTAAACACCTGATGTCGTTCCGTCTCCCACTTCTGCATCCTGTGACTTAGCAATGTCAACCATAACATTGGCAGCAGGGAAGACAATGTCAAGAAGCTTCAAAATTGTGGCACCATCATTCGAAATAGTAGTCTTTCCTAAAAGCAACTAGAAAATGACACTAACACATAGACACAAACTAACCAGCAACCAACCTTTGCTATCAACAATTAGTTTATCTAAACCTCGAGGACCTAAAGTGGTTCGTATGCTGTCGGCAACGACCTGTAAGCAACGAACAGCTTATACACATTGGATTACATGACACTAACAAAACAGGCGCAAAAATCCATACGAAAACCATGGCCTACCTGACATGCATTTATATTGGAAATGATTTGCTGTTTTCCCTGTTTGTTTTCAGTTCCTTCTTTAAGAAGTATTATCGGAGGACGCATCATTTTTCTGCTCGACTACTAAACAGGTACCCTAAAACACATAAAACCACTTGAAAACTGAAACGACGTCGACCGTATAATAAATAAAGGATAAAACTCTCGGCGTTGATCAATCTCTGAGGGATGCGCCATGCATTCGACATCATCAAGCATCGTTCGGAGGTGATCGAATGCATACCTGGCCTTTACAATGAGTCGCGGTAGTCCATCGATCTATTGAGTCAATATTGCTACCCTACCAGACAAGTGCCAATTTGGTGCCAATTTGCGCACCCAGGAGGGACAGGAGGCATGGATGGTTTGGTGACCCTGGGACTCAAGGATCGATCCCATATTTATTGCAGGACGCCTCTGATCACTACGCCACACGCGCTTCGACCATATAAAAACTAAAGCAGTCAGAGGAGAATGCGTATAATCAAAACGCAAATTTAACAACCATCAACAAATAGAAGTATGGGAATTTGCCGAGAGGAAAAAAACGACCGTGTTTTCTGGAATGGGAAGTAGTTCACCTTTAAGGTTGATTGGGGCGCGACATAATTCTTCGAGATCCATCGTTAGTTCCCAGGTAGTGCACTAAGGAGAGAATCGTTGGCAACGTTCCGTTTCGGTCTACTCATCTACTTTACAGGATTGCAAGTAATGCTTTGCCAGTACAATCAGATAGGTACAGAAAGATACAGAGATCAGGAACAACAACGGAAGTTCCACTTTCTGATTCGTCCTTTCCAGAGCTGAGGTCGCTGAAACATAAGCCGAATAAAGTTTTTTTTCTCAACCTAGCGTTAAATTATCAATGAAAGGGTGTATATTGAATCTCTGAGCAGTTTAATGAGTAGCTCGGTGAGTTCATTCCAGCCACTCGTGTAAGGAAAAAGTACGTCCAAAATGTCTTTGATATGCACAGCATGCAATCCCTCTTGAATGAAAAAAATTTTTAGGTTATCCACCTGGATCGAATCACTATAAGAAGAAGGTGTTTGTACAAAATTCAGAAAACTATGGCACCTACTGCAGGTGTGAAATTACGCATCACATCTTCTCATCGTAGAAGCGTTGTAAATATCCGTTTTGGGCTCCTTCACCTGTATCAGCTGTCGTCCTGTTGATCGTCGAGAGGCTCCGGCCAGCGCCAATAGATCTTCCATTTTTCCGTGTCACATGCAAGAGTAGCCCAGCGGGTTCTGCTTCTCCTAGGGATTCGTTGAGCATCATATCCTTCTTCTAGAGTCTTTGAGAAGAATTCTGATCATTGCTATCTCTCCAAGACGATCGCTTCCTCCTGGTCAACTCAGCAGCTAAGTGGTTCATCATTCGATTTTCTGACCTAGCTAGACGTAGCTGAAGCATTCGCAGATATTCATTCCGCTGAGCGTGGATCGTGCGTGCTTAGCCAATCTGTTCCTTATGAAAGTCGTTTTTGTGGGATTAAGTCGAAGACCAATCTTTTCACAAGCTTCATCGTAGTCGACAAATATTCGTTCCGCCTCACTAATGCTTGGTGTTATAAGAACGATGTCATCAGCATAGTGAAAATGCTGTGATTATGGGCAATCGATTTTCACTCCTATATTGTCTCATTCCAGTGTTCACATGACGTTCTCGAGGGTGACGGTAAATAATTTTGGCGGTGTGGTATCGCCTTGGCTAACCTCTCTAGTCACGTCGCTGACGATATGATTGAGAAATGGTGACACTTTGGCTGTGAAATCTTTATATAGTTCACGAAGAAGCTTCCATGACTGCTTCCACCTCAACTGAGGCAGGAGCTTTCATCATGTCGATGAATGTGAGACAGAGCGGTCTTTTGTACTTTCGCGATACTTCAGTGAGTTTGTTATCGTGTGGATGTGGTCCTTCTTACCGAATCCTTTTCGAAACCCAGTTTGCTCACATGGCTGTCCTTCGCCTAGTGTTTTATCAATCCTGTATAGCAGGACTTCAGTAAAGAGTTTGTAGATTGCAAATATTAAGCAGATTGAGCGATAGTTATCGTGAAGCTCAAAATTCTTTGACAACAACGTAGTTTTTCTGACCTTCTATTTAATAGGAGTCTGACCGGTAACTGTAAAGACGCAAGTTTGGTAAAACAATATTTTTCAAACAGTCATTTAACCTCGACAGTAATAACCAATGCCTTCTAAGATTGTCAAGCCAACATGAGGCTGATAATGATGTCATGGCTCTGGTGAAGACGAAGAAGTCGAAACGTGAGCCTTATAAACATCTTTGTCAACCTCGTGTTAGCTTAACAATCCAAGAAGGAGCTCCAAATGTTTAGTTTTATTTTGTCAGAACCTGGTCTTATTTGATTCTCCACCGACGAAACAGTCTATCGCATTTCGGAAGGGAGATTAAGTGGGATGATAGATCCGTCTCCTCTATTTCAAATGCAGAGGATGTGTTATTGAGCAGGTCCGAAAATTAGTCTCAGTGATTTTCTCCACCGCCTTTCTAGGAACTAAAACTGTTCCGTCTAGTCTTTGGTGTGCAATCCTTTTGGTCTCGCAGTTAGTGAACTTCCCATGGACTTTGTGAATTCTCTTCCTAATGCGTCGTTTTCTTGTTCAGCAATCGCGAGGTTTTTAAAGAGCATACATTTACTTCCATAGAGAAACACAAGAATAAGATTGTCTGTTAGTGATAAAGGGGGAGAGTTCGTAGTTATTCCTCGCCAACTGGATGTTGAGATAACAGAGGAACATCTTAGTGATGCTGCCCTCTATCGCCCATCCTATGAAAAGGAATATAAAAGTCAATACCGAAAACTAAACAATCAACGGGTCAGTGTGGCAAAGGCTGCGGGTTTAAAATCATCGGTTACTTCGTACTTTAAAATCGATAGACCAACATGTCCCGTCCTATGCCTACTTATTAAAACGCATAAGTTGGTATCACCTGATGATCATGCGTCAACCAATCCGTCATCACTTAACGTTAGACCCATCATCAGCTGTGTAGACGGGCCAACGGATAGAATAACCTCGTTTTTAAGCCTGATACTTACCCAGTTGCTTAATCACATTCCAGCTCACCTCACAAACATCTAAATGTTCCTAGAACGTCTACGTAACGCGTCCCCTAATAACGCGTACGTGATGGAGTCTTTCGACGTTACCGCACTGTACACCAACGTGTCGAATGACTCTGCAATGCAAGCCATCTTCGAGCTTCTTGTTGAACATGAAAGAAGAATAAATATGCATGGTTTGTCCATCCAGCATCTAATAGCTCTCTTAAAGGAGTGCCTAAACTGCTCGATTTTCAGATGGTCTGGGAAATATTTCGCACAAATAAGGGGGTTGGCAATGGGACAGCGACTGGCACCAAGCCTTGCCATTGTGTTTATGTCTAAGACAGAAGATCCAGTGCTCGATCACTGGCCACTACTCTACTGCGGATATGTAGATGATTGCTTTGTCGTCTTCTCTACGCAGGAGGAGATGGACGAATGCTTCGAATTATTGAACGAGCAGTCTGAGTACATAAAGTTCACTCGAGTGAAACCGAGAAAAAACTGGCTTCCGTTTATAAAAGGTTAAAAAAAACCTATCAAGTAGCGGTTACTTGACAAAGTGGTACCGAAAGCCAAGTAACAAAAAGATCCTCGTTCATTTCCTTTCTTCCCACCCTTCACAAACAATGAGGGCACTTGTGAGAAACATGCTCCCAACAGGCACCTCTGTGTGCACAACCAGTGAACTAAGGGAAGAATCGCGCGACTTGGCTCGGCAAATAGCCATCTCTAATGGCTACGAAATAGTAACCCCACGAGGTAAGTTTGGAAGGAGAGCGACGCGCCCATACGAAACACGTGGCCAATAGAAAGTCCCGTTTATGATGCCTTTTATTGGTGAAGAAGCGTAGCTATTAAACGATGCTTAAGAAGGGCAGGTCTAGAGGAATCACTAGCGATAGTTGAAATACCACGGGCTACTCTACGTCGTTAGTTAGTTCGTAACCGCCTGTACTACCGTCTATGTGAACCAACAAATTGCGTAATTTGCCCTTACGGCAGGGACGGTTATTGGACGAGTTCAGGTACGATATGCCTGTTTTCTCGTAATAATTGCGGAAATGAATATATTGCCGAAACGGGCAGACCTTTGTGTACCCGTATGAAAGCACACCTAGATGGAAAGTGAAAGCTAAGACAAAGAACCCCATTAGGCTCGCGTAGGATACAAAAGCACGGCGGAGACGATTTTGAAGTAAAAGTCGATATCGTTGCACTGGAGGCTAAAACACCAGCGCGAAAACTTCTTGAGGCTTTTTGGATAAATGCTGAAAACCCTTTAATGAATAGGAGGGATGAATGCCCAGTGGTCGTACGCAGGCTGACCCCGTATGTTCGCATCAATTTCTGATGTGGTATGGTAGGCTGTCATCAACCATATGCGTCTATAATCAGCAGTTCTAAACTTCCTCGTTGGAAGTCGCGTAAAAAGCGGTGAGTTTTTCGAGAAGCTGTTGATCATGTAATTACCATAGAGTTTTTCGTCTTTTTGTAAGTCTTATTGAACCGTTTAGCCTAGTAGATTGTATATCAGTATACCCTTCCAGGCTCTGAAGAAGGCGATACTGCCGAAACGTCAGTTACTGTTGTATTGTATTGTGCTTCTCTATAGAAGTAAATGTATGCTCCCACGACCGACTTTCTATTAACCTCGGCATTGACCAAGTAATTCTTCGTATTCTTGTTGTGCAAATGCGAGGTGTTACGTTTATTCTTCATTCACGAATAAGCTGACGTTTCGGCTGATTTCGCCTTCCTCAGAGCCTGGAAAGGTCAAGTTTACAGCAATCTATTCGGCCAAACACCTCCATAACTAAACAAAGAAAACGCTAAACCAAGATTTTAATCATATTGAATACAGAATAGCTTCTTTGCACACTCACCGCTTTCTATGAGTCTTCCACTGAGTATGTCGCCTGGAGACCAACCGCACAGAGTTCACATGGGATCGTAATGTGCTCCTCCCATCACAATAACAGTCTTA